TTCTTCTTCTTTTTTTTTTTTTTTTTAAGATTTTATTTATTTATTTGACAGAGAGATCACAAGTAGGCAGAGAGGCAGGCAGAGAGAGAGAGGAGGAAGCAGGCTTCCTGCTGAGCAGAGAGCCCAATGCGGGGCTCGATCCCAGGACTCTGGGATCATGACCTGAGCCGAAGGCAGAGGCTTAACCCACTGAGCCACCCAGGCGCCCCCAGTAGCCTTCTTCTTGTGTCTGTTTAACAAATCCTTAACTGCCTTGGTAAGACAGAAAAGTTCCCTTATAATCGAATATTTCCTGGTGTTTTCACTATTCATTTACTGTTACTTATTTTTTTTTTTAATTTTATTTTTTTATAAACATATATTTTTATCCCCAGGGGTACAGGTCTGTGAATCGCCAGGTTTACACACTTCACAGCACTCATCATAGCACATACCCTCCCCAATGTCCATAATCCCACCCCCCCATACTGTTACTTATTTTTAACAAACCTTAATTTACCACCAACTGCTTCGATTCCACGGGTTATCTTGAAAGATGAAGCTCCTTTAGTAGTCTGGAAAAAGAAAGAACAATTGTATTTTTAGGAATTTCTTAATGCCAAGTTGGCAAACATCACACTACATCACAATCTAACGTCTAACTGTCATTAGATTCAAAAAGAACTTTATCTACACAGCCGATCTTTTTTAGTTTCAGTATTATAAAACGAAACACACAATAGCTTTTCTTTTCTGTAGGACCGAGATACCATAGCATTCCTGAACTGAGTGAGACAGTAAAGATGCTTACCAAACTGGATGCAAGACGAAGCAGATGAGAGGTTCCTAAGTTGTTGGAGTCCTCATATCTGCTGCCAGCTTTAATGAACAAACCGATTCTTGATGCAGGAGCATAGTTTTCCAAAGAAGCAATCACTAAGCCGTTTGGTAATTTGGTAAACTGTATTTAAAATAAAACGAGATGTGATCAACGCTTTTATATTACCAAAGACAGAAAGGCCATATATGGGTTCCAGTGAGCAACTCAGTGGGACTGACCTCAAGGTCCTGAGGCTGTGAAGGCACTCCTGCAGGGGCGGCCGTGGCTTTCACTTTGGGAGCAACTTTCAGGGAGTAAAATCTCTAAACACAAAAAAGACAGGTTACACACATTTCTCTCAAGAAAAGTGTCATGGGACGCCTGGGTGGCTCAGTTGGTTAAGCAGCTGCCTTCGGCTCAGGTCATGATCCCGGCGTCCTGGGATCGAGTCCCGCATCGGGCTCCTTGCTCGGCGGGGAGCCTGCTTCTCCCTCTGCCTCTGCCTGCCACTCTGTCTGCCTGTGCTTGCTCTCTCTCTCTCTCTGACAAATAAATAAATAAAATTAAAAAAAGAAAAAAAGAAAAAAAAAAAGAAAAGTGTCTTGTATTCTGGTATGCCCAAGCAACAGAAGGTGTTCAGTGATAAAATAACTTCATGGGAGTGGGGGGATTCAGCTAACTTATTACTTCCCAGCTGCTCTTAAATCCTTAATTTGTGATTTGTAGAGCCTGAAGAAATACCTAACCCTACATGTTCATTTTTTTAGAATGGAAAAAACCACTGTATTTTCTTTTCCCTGTTAACTATCTTTTTTTTTTTTTAAGATTTTATTTATTTATTTGACAGACAGAGATCACAAGTAGGCAGTTTCATTTGCTGGGTGTGGTATAGTTAACCCTAGTTGTGATTTTACCTTTTGAATCTCTAAAAAGTAAAATTTAAGACATGGGAGCTTAGCTGTTCAAATACGAACCATCTACAGTTCCATTGCCAAGGCTGAGGTGCTTTCACCTCAAGAAGCAGTGAAACTTTATGTACTGCCTATAAGTTGTCCCGTTCCAATCAGCTGCAAAGATTTATCCTGGTAATTGTCAATTACTGGGTAACTTTAATAACAAAATATGTATAATAAATTTATTTGTTTGTAAAATGAGTGATATAATTAGAAACATTCAGTGCTTTCAAGTTTACTGCAATTTGTTTACATTGGTCCTCTCCAACTGTTATCTTTGAGTTCTTTTATCTACTGGGAAGTTGGGATGGATGGACTGGAGGAGATTTGGGGTTCTTTTACCACTCTAGGCTGCTCTCAACATTCTTTTTTTTTTTTTTTTTAAAGATTTTATTTATTTATTTGACAGAGAGAAATCACAAGTAGGCAGAGAGGCAGGCAGAGAGAGGAGGAAGCAGGCTCCCCGCTGAGCAGAAAGCCCGATGTGGGGCTTGAACCCAGGACCTGGGATCATGACCTGAGCCGAAGGCAGAGGCTTAACCCACTGCGCCACCCAGGTGCCCCTGCTCTCAACATTCTTAATCACTGGTTTGTCTAGGTGTGCCAGTAAGGGTAATTTAGGCTAAAATTTAAATTACCGCCATTTGCAAAAATCCACAGTATATCTATTTATTTTTTTCTTTTTAAAGATTTCACTTTTATTTATTTGACAGACAGACATCACAAGTAGGCAGAGAGGCAGAGAGAGAGGAAGGGAAGCGGGCTCCCTGCTGAGGATGCGGGGCTCGATCCCAAGACCCTGAGATCATGGCCTGAGCCAAAGGCAGAGGCTTAACCCACTGAGCCACCCAGGCGCCCCTCAGTATATCTATTTTAACATCAGGCACAGGGTAACTCCATTCCCTGCACCTCTGTCTAGCAGGTTACTGGTTACCTAGTAACCCAGATACTATTGGCTAGGTAATTTTTTTTTTAAGATTTTATTTATTTGACAGAGATCACAAGTAGGCAGAGGGGCAGGCAGAGAGAGAGAGGGGGAAGCCAGCTCCCTGCTTAGCAGAGAGGCGGATTCGGGGGCTCCATCCCAGAACCCTGGGATCATGACCTGAGCTGAAGGCAAAGGCTTAACCTACGGAGCCACCCAGGCGCCCCAGGCTAGGTAATTTTTTGTTGTGGGGAGGATATGCTTATGCACTGCAAGATATTTAGAAGCATTTCTGTACTCTAGAGGCCAGCTGGCACTCCCTTACAGGTTGTTACAACCAAAAATGTATTCAGATGTTGCCAACTATCCCCTGGGGGCAAAACTGGCCCAGCTGAGATTCTTAAAAGTGTTCCTCACCTCCCCTCTTGATAACCAGCGCTCCATTGTGGTAGCACACTGACATGTGAGGAGTTTGCCCCAAGTAACAACTATGTATCGCTTGGGCTTGGTGGAGTCGTCTTAAGCGGCTCCCGAGGGCCGACCAAGAGGCCCTCCTAGACTTCTCCAACAAGTCATGGAGAAAAAGACGTTATCCTGGGGCGCCTGGGTAGCTCAGTGGGTTAAAGCCTCTGCTTTCAGCTCAGGTCATGATCCCGGGGTCCTGGAATCGAGCCCCGCATCAGGCTCCCTGGGAGCCTGCTTCCTCCCCTCTCTCTCTCTGCCTGCCTCTCTGCCTACTTGTGATCTCTCTCTCTGTCAAATAAATAAAATCTTAAAAAAAAAAACCAAAACGTTATCCTGGCAGGACACCATAATAAGCTCTAGAACAGTGATAAGCAGTATACATGCATTAGCTCATTTCTTCCTTAAAATTTTACTCATAAGCCCCCTTAACCGTCAGGGAAACTGATGCTCCGTGATACACTAAGAAGCAGAGGCCAGAGCTGACAGGGTGAGGGTGGAGGGGTAGGTCTACGCCGGCCCCCTGGCCCCCAGGGCTCGCGGTTTCCACCTCCGGCACACAAGTGCAGCAGTGACCTTCACAAGTTTCGCCACCGACTCGCTTCACCCCCGCTCTCAACCCCTTTCCCTATTCTCTTCAGGTTTTCCGGCGTTAGGTCTCTTGCTCGTAGCACGACCTGGACCTCCAATGCCCGACCCACCCGGCTTGCAGACCACTTGGCCCGCAGAGTCCGTCTGAAGGGCAGACGGAAGCCCAAGGCCCCGGAGCTCCAAACCAAGCACCTCCGGTCCGTATCACCTTGCTGACAAACTGCTCCCCAACCCTGCCCCATGCCCGCCGGCTGTGCTCACCGAGAGGGACCCGGCTCTGCTTAGTAGCTTCATGGCTCAAGCTCGCTCTAATCCTCGGTCACTGCCGGCTGGAAAGAAAGCAAGATGGTGGCGGACGAGAGGAGTTTCCCAGCTCCCCCCGCGCGCTCTTTCCCACGGCGGCTACGTGAAGAGGACTCTCTACGCGGACCGCGCTCTACTGCTCCCTGGAGGAGGTTGGGCCAGTCCAAGTCTTTCAAGACTCAGTATAGGCCGACGCAACGTTTTGTACGGGAATACTCAGAAGATTACTTATTTTGCCACTTTTTGAATTCTCGTCCCGGCCCGGATATCCTGTATCCTGAACTCTGTAATCCTACTCTACGTCTAGGACTGCCCATCACACCCCCCCACCCCGTCACTTTGGAATCTCCCGATCCGGATTGTCAAATGAGACAGCCCCTTTGCCCCCGATTCCACCTCAAACCTGCCCCCGAGCCCTGGCACCTGCAGCTCCCGGCAAGTCTGTAGAGGAGACTGGGCACTGAGAGAAGAGTCTCCGTATATGTTTGCCTTTCTGAAGAGACCTGCGCTTCGAAGCCGAGCATGACTGCTTCTTGCTTGCTAAAGTCCTCACTAGATCATTAGCCCCTATGAGGGTAGAGACCTTGACCAATGAACTCGCTGCTCTGACTGGTGGCCCCGGCGGAAGACACAAATGGATGAATCCTGAAATCCAGGTAGTCTTCCCCGCTAAGGTCTCTGCTCTCGTGAAATTTATATTCTAGGCTGGGGCTACGTAGGAAACAAAAACTTCACTATAATTGTCATATGAGAAAAAAGGTTTTGAAGAGTAGGGGTGTATGCCGGGGGGGGGGGTAACTTCTGAGCTGAAACCTGCCTATGGGGAGTCATGTCACTATCCGGAGGAAGAAAGTTCATTTTTCCATGAGTATTAACTGTGAATTCGCCTTGTGTCAGACACAAGATTAAGGCGTGGTCTTTGTCCTTCAGGAACTTACAGTCTCTGCTACTGCAGCAAGGTTGGGAAATCAACAGCATCAGTACGATTTGGAGTTAGAAATGCAGAATCTCCATACTGAATCGAAATCTGCATTGTACAAGATTCATGTGCACATTAAAATTTCAGGAGGGCTGGTGGTGCTGCAGACATTTACAAGGGATAGACAAACTTATGTCTAGCTCCTTGGCCTGTGGCTGATTTACTTCACTCCTACAACTGTCTAACAGGATTTCCGGTGACATCTAAGACCCGACCTGGCCAATGAGAATCTGGTGCAAATCCAATTTCTGTGCCTTCAGGGGGCACCCGTCTCAATCCATACCACACAGGAGAGTGACCCAAAGTGTGGCAGACTTAACACGAATGGTGAGGTGATGAGAAGCTTTCAAGTTGTTCATAAATGAACAGTATTCCATCTCAATAGTTGTACACTGATTTTGAATAGTATGGCAAGCAATGCTGGTAATGAGTTTCCTCTTTAAATACACTGGCAAAAAGAGTAAAAGTAGGTTTAAACAACATTGAGTAAACTATAGGTGATAGACATGGCAAAAATCATGAAGGTGTTATACCAATGAGTGAGGCTGGGGAAACACTGCTCTGATCAAGTCGCCCACCTGCTTAAAATTTTTCAATGATTCCCCATGTTTTTCAGGATAAAGTTCAAATTCATTATTACGGGACATAAACCTCTGTTTCCAGTACTTTTTAAGCATTACCCCCAAATTAGTTGTACCCTTGAGAGTCCAGTCATTGGAACTACATCCAACAATTCAACGTAGATGGGATACACACACACACACACACACACACACACACACCCCTATTTAGAATGTTCCCTAATTCTTCAATTATACCACCACTCACACCTCAAGACATAACTGTGACCCAAACGAAAAATTCTGTTCAAATGTGGCAGGAACTGAAATATAATTCACATCAGCTACATAAATAAAATTCTAAGTTTATTTGTATTTTGCACCACTGTAAAATTTACTATTAAGCTGTACATGCCAAAATAGGACTGCCATCTTGTGGACAGACCTGACACTTTTTATCAGCGTCCTTCCTACCTTGGTGACTGCTGACCAAATGAGGAGGAAGCTGTGTGTGTAGTTGAGACCGGGATGCCATTCTTAACATGTGCAGCGTTGGTAGGTGTTGTACATTTCCACCTTGTGCTTTTCTTCAGCTCCCAACTAGTCTTACAGCTAATTACATAATTATGGTGATAGAGGAGGCCAGATCCATGAGCTCCAATTCTCATCTTGTGTTGTCACTCCCTTTACCTTTTGAATAATTAATGCTTGGAATAATAAGACCCCATAATGGAGGGAAGTAGAAAAAGAGCTGAGAATGGAAGACATGGAAGGAGAAAATAGGTGACCAAGAGGATATAAAACAAAGGAGAAAAGAGGGAGGGAAGAAGAACATTCTCTAGATGAGGCTCCAAATTGCTTATATCTCCTTACTGATTACTGTTGCTTATTAAGTGTATTTTTAAAATCTCTTCCTCCTTTAGAATGCCCATGACCCAGACTAGCATAAAAACAAGAGGGTAGGTGACAGAAAACCTTGAAGTTTCTCTAGGTTGCCTTACCAGCTCATGTCATATTTCTGCCACAATGCTAGATGAGGTCCTTGAAACTGTTTCTGCATAGAAGACACTGCAAGCCCTGGGAGAGAAAATGAACAGTCAGGAAGACACTAGACACAGAAGACTAGAGGAATACATTGCTGGAAAGCTATTTTGGCTTTCTTACTATAGAGTCAAATCTGTCTCCACGGAGCCAAACTTTCTGCCTTGAGCTACAATTGGGTGGGTGCAGGGTTGTGGAGGTGGGTGGGGAGCAGAGTCATAAGGAAGGAGACTTTAGTGGGGGCAAAACAGACTCCAGGAAAGTGTTTTTTTTTTTTAAATTGTATTCATTTATTTGAGAGAGAGAGAGAGAGAGAGAGAGCGCACAGGCAGGGTGAGTGGCAGAAGGAGAGGGAGATGCAGACTCCCCACTGAGCAAGGAGCCTGGGATCATGACCTGAGCCGAAGGCAACACTTAACGACTGAGCCACCAAGGTGCCCCAGGAAAGTGGCTTGAACTTGGGAACATCACCTTGCCATGTTGGTGCCAGAGGCATTAATCATGGCTCCTCCTCATCCATTATTCCGATAGTCAGCATTTACTTCCCTGTTCCTCTCAGAATCCCTTTCAGGCAAACACCACTATTGTCTGGAGTTTTTTCTCCCTTCTTGGACCTTTACTGTCTTTTACTGATAATTAATTTTTTAACTCATGTTTTAGCTTCCTTAACATCCTCAACTAGATGAAAGAAAAAGCATTATTGGCATTTTCAGACAAACAGAAGTTAAAGGGATAGTATAATAGACTCCCATTTACCCAATGCCCAGTTTCAACCAGAATCAGTATTTTACCTTTCTTTGATTTTAAGCTCTGTAGTGGAGAGATGTATGATTTATAACTGTTTAAGGCAGCTAGAATCATAATCGGGGGTGGCATGGTTATTTAAATTTTTTTTTTAAATAAACACTTTACATTTCAAATCACTAACTTTTAAATGAGTGCACTAAATTGTGCGCGGCCAGGGGCATGGTTATTTTTGATACCTCACTTAAACGGTCAAAAATCTATAGTCAAGGGACACCTGGGTGGCTCAGTTGGTTAAGCAGCTGCCTTCGGCTCGGGTCATGATCCCAGCGTTCTGGGATCGAGTCCCACATCGGGCTCCTTGCTTGGCGGGGAGCCTGTTTCTCCCTCTGCCTCTGCCTGCCATTCTGTCTGCCTGTGCTCGCTCTCTCTCCCTCTCTCTCTGACAAATAAATAAAATCTTTAAAAAAAAAATCTATAGTCAAAGCTGCTCTAGTTAATGTTTACTCTCCCATTATCTCTTGGATCTGTGCATTTTATTTTAGTTTTTTAAGACTATTTATTTGTCAGAGAGAGAGCACATGAACATAAGTGGGGGGAGTGGCAGACAGAGAGAGAAGCAGGCTCCATGCTGGGGAAGGAGCCTGATGTGGGACCCTGGGATCATGACCTGAGCCGAAGGCAGACGCTTAACCCACTGAGCCCCTAGGTGTCCCGTGGATTTGTGCATTTTGTTAAACAGAAACACACATCCCTTTTGTCTTAAAAACTGCCTTTCACTTTTCTCTTAGTTGTATGTGAGATCTGAGTTTGCTATGCACCTTTATTGGTTGATATCTGATGAAAAGAGGGAGAACCCAGGTGGCATCAGTTGGGTCACAGGATTGCAAAGACAAGAAAGGAAGAGACCTCGGGGATTAACACCTTCCTGAGAAAGTCTAGATGCCAGTGCTCTACTTCTGAGGATGTTCAGTTTAGACCTCATGATTTCAACAAAAATCTGAAATTGTAGAAGCAAGTTAGGCTGATGTAGCTTCCTTTAAATTATTTTATGACACAAGTAGCCAAAGCTACTTTGGCAAGGAGGTCTTGGTAAGTTTGGGAAAGAAAGGAGAGAGAAAAATGTTTATCACGTTTTCGTTACAGCTTCAGTAGAAGTCTTATTAGAATGCTGACAGGACTGAGAATATGCTGTCACCTGGTAGCATTTTGTACTAATGTCAGGAAAAATTCCCAAGAGTAAAAAAGACTTCTTAGGTGTTAAAATTGTAAACCTTCATTTGAGAACCCCCTGGAAGGCCTAGCCCATTTTTTGTTACAAAGCCGAACGCATCAGAATCATGTGGAGTGCTTGTTAATGCGGATTCCTGGGTTCACCACTCCTCTGACTGAATCAGAATCTACCGGGTCTGGACTCCAAGAATCTTCATTTTTTTTTTTTAAGATTTTTATTTATTTAATGGACAGAGAGAGACACACACAGTGAGAGAGGGAACACAAGCAGGGGGAGTGGGAGAGGGAGAACCAGTCTTCCCACTGAGCAGGGAGCCCGATGCAGGGCTCGTTCCCAGGACCCTGGGATCATGACCTGAGGTGAAGGAAGCCGCCTAATGACTGAGCCACCCAGGTGCCCCGGAATCTTCATTTTAAAAAAATGTCCCACAGGTGAATCTAGTGCATAGTCATCAAGTCTGGGAACACCAGCCTAGCCTCTCCCCTATGCAATAATTAGGATATAGCAGGAGTATATACCTTTACAT